CTCAGAGTTTCTTTTTAAGTTCTGTTTGACACTGAAATGGGCACCTCACTGGCTCCCAACCCTACTTCCTGCCCATCTGGTTGACCTTGATCTGAGCCAGTGCCCCCATTTCTCCTGAGCCCCTGTTTTTCTATCAGGACTTTTTTAATGGACTAGAATGATGCCCATCATTCTCATGCCTTGCCTGACAGACTCTGAGGGACCAGCACCTACTGGCTCCAGAACACAGTCATAGAGAGTAGCCAGACAAATCTTCCCCAACAACATTCAGCCCCATCTCACATCTACATTGGCCATGAGGTCAAGCCAATGTCCCCTGTGAGATCAAAAGTCATTACACAGGACACTCAGTAGCTGCAGCCTCTTTACCAGTTTTAATCACCAATTGCAATGTGGTTCACTGTCCTCCCAGGCTCTAGCTGCTGCTTTAGTGAGAAAGAATCTTGCCACAGAAGGACTACTTTTGTGATTAATAACCAAACAAATAGATATTGAGCATCTACTAAGTGCCAGGTACAGGACATTCAAAGGCAAGGATGATGGATGCTGTGAATGCCTTCATGAAAAAGTCTTGAGGACTGTCATCAGAATATTCCCAAGTGGGAAACCAACACAGATGAAACCATCTTGCTTGAGAATAATAGCATTTGTCTCATAACCTACAGTTTTTATGTATTGTCATGTGTGAGCCCAGACAGCAGTATATGGGGTTGGAAGTTACATGGAAACTTTCTGGTCTGGAGGTTTCCAATTCTATACTCAACAGAACCTTGCCACTGTGTGAGGGGGTAAATCTGGGAGAACAATAAAACCAAGGCTGTTATCCTTGGGACAAATTCAACCAGCAGAGGCATTTCTAGGATGCCCCAAAGAGCACACAGGTCACTACAAACTATGATATGGAATAAATACCATATATATTTATCTTCCTTAAATAACACCAGATTTGAGGGGATTCATGTAGTACCAGATAAAAAAGGAAAACAACCTACATGGTTAGTTTGCAAGCCCACAGAGACCCTTGGAACCCAAGCTATGAAGTGAGACACTTTATTGCTACCAGGCCCCATTGTATCCTGGAAATTCTAGCAAGACATGACCAGCAATCATTCTCTAGAAGACTTGATGCCAATTTGGGTCATTGCTTTGGCGTGAAGCTTAGTCCCAGTTGTAAGTGAATGCCCCCACTCAAACACACACATACACACTCTCTCTCTCTCTCTCTCTCTCTCTCTCTCTCTCTCTCTCTCTCTCTTTCACACACACACACTCTCTCTCTCTCACACACACACACTCTCCCCTATACACACATGCTTTCTTTCTTATGTACACACACTTTCTCTTTCACACACTCTCTCTCTCACACATATTCTCTCTTTCACACACATACACATACTCTCACATATTCTTTCTCTCTGTAACACACACACACACAAACACACACACACACACACACACACACACACACACACACA